GCACAAAATCAGGGTAATCCAATTCTGCTGGAGAGGTCCTGGCAGCCTGTGGCAGGGCAGCATGTGCCAGCAGAGGCAAGCCCAGATAGGGCAGCCACACAGAACTGAGACATACTTACACTAGGAGCTTCTTCGCTGTTTATCGGAAATTGAAACTTAACTGAGGGCCGTACATTTTATTTGCTAAGTCTGACCCACATAAAGGGCCTTACCTGCAGGCCATAGAGCCCTCGGTGCCACCTGAAAGCCTCTCTAGGCCAGGTCTGCTGAGGCCACCAAAGTATATGTTCTGATGCTGAGGTCCGCTCTGGGATCACTGGCTCCCCAACTCCTGCTCAAACAGAAGCCAGTGTCTGGGACAAACTTTTTTGCCCTCCCCATCCCCAAGGAATAGAAGCTCAAGGGCAAAGGCAGCTGGGCACACAGAGTGTGCCAGCACAGTGCTGGGTTTCTGCCAGCACCCCCTCCCTTTTTCTTTTTAAAGATCCAGCCTTCGTTATTCACAGTAAATCAAATTTCCACCCCCTTCTCAATGTTTTCCTGTGCTGTGCAAGTTTCTGTGTTTGAGGGAACAGCCCTGAGACTCATCTGATCCTAGGAGACATTATTCTCCTCCACCTTCTTTCAGACTGAATACCTATTAAGGGCCCTCAAGCTGAGTCACGGGGTCTGAATCTAGGCACATGGAGCTGATTTAGCGGATGTGAGGAGGAGCTTGGCACAGGAGGCCAAAGCAAAGCATCTGCTCATTCAAACACCTGCTGAGCCATCCACTGTGGGCCAGATACCCCAGGGAGGGCACATAGGATAAGTATATTTCAAAAACCAAGGTTAGGACAGGAAAATATCCTCCTTCCCTGGGTTAGCAACTTAGAACCATGAGTACTTCACTTAGTTGATCCTGGCTAAAAGAGGAAAAAAAGTGAGCCCAGTTTTAAAGAATTATGCACAACTCTGGGAACAAATCAGTGCTTGATTTACTTCGGATATTCCAGCTACCTAGCACAGCCCAGCACACAAAGAGGTTTTGAATTGATCTGCTGAAATTTGGCTGATAAACACGTGGCCTATCTAGCCAATCACAAGTTATGTGCATAACAAGGCAAAAAGCACAGACCACTTGAAATCTCTTTTCAGAACACTTTAGTAATTTTAAGCTTTTTTCCTTTTCAGTTGGAAACACATGGCAGAAAGGTAGACTTCCTTCCTGTCCCTGCCCTGTGAGGGATACCAATATATTGTGAAACTGTCAGAAGATGACGGGAGATGGGATGACTTCTGTATTCAGCACAGGATTAAGAATGGGAGATAGTTTCTTGTACAGTTCTAGACAACTCCTGTTTAATGAGATGCTGAGTTCTTCCTGATATTCCTGAGATGCAGGAGCAAAAGCCCAATTCTGATATAAAATGCACATTTTCATCAAGACTTTTATAAATAATGCCTTCTCCCAATTTGCTGACACAGGGCTCAATTCCTCTCCCAGCTAACTGAGGTTAAGGGAGAGTTCGTAGTCAAGTGTGGGGACTGCCAAGACTTTGGCAGGCCTGGGACAACCCGCCAGCCCAGGGCTTCATTCTCTGACTCAGCATTCAGTATGCTCAAGTCACTTCCTGAGTGGCCTGTTGGAAATCTGGCAAGTGATGTGAACTACCTAATGAACTAGACAAAGGTTCTGATGCCTAATAGAGAAAAAGCGTTGCAGAGATCCAGTCAAAAGCAGTAGGATGTTGGCAGAGCTGCATATAATTTGCTAAATTTAGTATTAAGGGTTCTGACCAGGAGCAGGCAAGGGTAAAACTCCAGAGAGAGAATACATCCTCAGGATTTTTCTCAGTCAGCAAATGCTGGACACTGCAGAAAAGTCTAGAGTTCTTTGCTTTACAGTTGCCTACCCTAGGATTTAAATGATGTACCAAAAGAGTATCAGTGGCTGCCAAATTGTCCTTAAGAGACTCTAATTAGACTGTAAGTTTGTGGAGGGCAGGGGCTGGGTCTCCATCCCAGCCCCAGTGTAAATGGGCGCTTCCTGCTCTTTGATGAGCCCACCTGGCTCATGAGTGATAAAGGCAAGGTGTCTGCTGCGGCAGAGCTCACCAGTTTCACTTAGTTTTTCCCTCTGAAGTCGGGGAGACAAGAGGGTTTGTTTTTTTTTTTAAAGCCAAAGTAACAATCTGTGAAGTGAAATCTCCAGGCCTCTGAAAAGGATCCAGATCAAGTCAGTAATTTCCTTGGAGTGAGTTTATTATGAGCCATTCTGAGGCAGGAACCAACCTGACAGTCTCCAGGTACACTTGATTTCATTAGAAAGATGGAAATCTCACATCTGGAAGACAAGAGATGCCTAGTGACACTTTCTCTTAGTTTCTTTGGGTAAATAGTGAAATCCTGTCCCAACATCTAAGGAAAGATTTAGTTCTCTGAAAAAGTGAGCTGAAGATGAGTTTTTAAGCTAATAACCTGTCACAGGGTCATGACTTCTGAGCATAAGCTATAAGGATAGGTACATGGCAACCTGATGTTGTGGCCTTGCAAATTCAGCCTGTTCCTTATCTCTGCACAGTCCCAACAGCCTGTGATCACATAATCAGCTTGTTGGACAAGAACTGGGATTTGCTCCATCCGAGGCCCGGCCCTTCTGAGAACCTAGTTATCTTATTTCTCCTACAAATGTCTCTCTCAGCAAGTCCTCAACTGCTAACCAGTGACCACTTTTCTCCCAACTCACAGCTCCCCTAGCAGAGCAGCTCAAGGCCGGGATGCTTTTCTCTCCAGTCTCACTGTAGGACTCATTCACAGGTCAAAGTACCCCCTCCCCTGGATGCAGGGCTGGCGTGCAGTTCCATCTGGGACAACCAGGACTGCATGATGCAAGGAAAGGCAAACTCATGATTCACATGGGACAGTGAAGAGGTAAGCCAGGAGCAAACATGTGAACCACTACAGCCTTCTCATTTGCGGCATTGTTATATTTCTATCTGCAAGTAAAATTTAATGTTAGAAAAACAAAGCACTAAGTCGCACTTTATGTAAAGTCCAGAGTACTCTTATTTTTATTATTTTATTATTTTTTTTGAGACAGAGTTTCGCTCTTGTTACCCAGGCTGGAGTGCAATGGCGCGATCTCGGCTCACTGCAACCTCCGCCTCCTGGGTTCAGGCAATTCTCCTGCCTCAGCCTCCTGAGTAGCTGGGATTACAGGCATGCACCACCATGCCCAGCTAATTTTTTGCATTTTTAGTAGAGACGGGGTTTCACCATGTTGACCAGGATGGTCTCAATCTCATGACCTCGTGATCCACCCGCCTTGGCCTCCCAAAGTGCTGGGATTACAGGCGTGAGCCACTGCGCCCGGCCTCTTATTTTTGAGACAGTCTTACTCTGTTGACCAGGCTGGAGTGCAGTGGCATAATCTCGTCTCACTGCAATCTCTGCCTCCTGGGTTCAGGTGATTCTCCTGCTTCAGCCTCCCGAGTAGCTGGGATTACAGGCACCTGCCATCACAGCTAGCTAATTTTTGTATTTTTAGTAGAGATGGGGTTTCCCCCTGTTGGCTGGCTGGTCCTGAACTCCTGATCTCTAGTGAACTGCCTGCCTCAGCCTCCCAAAGTGCTAGGATTACAGGTGTTAGCCACCGTGCCTGGCCTGGAGTACTCTTTTAAAAAAAGCACGATTAAATCATTTGATTAGCTTAAATCACCACATATAAGCAGGGCACAACTTGCTAAATCAAGTTCCCTGCAAGGCTCATGTTTCAAGACTTTCTAGTAAAGCTCAATTGAAGGCAGTCCTCCAGGGTGACAAGAGGGGAATAGAGGAAGAAGGCAGAACACAGCCCCACTGACCCTCAGGCTGTATCCTTCCTGGAACATGGAATCCTATGATGGGCAGCAGTTGGTCTCATTATCTATAGATTATTTCTTCCCTAAAGAAAAGGTAACAATTATTTTAACAACTGGAGGATGGTGGAGGTGACCACCCCCTGTGACAAGACAAGAAACTTCTCCCTAGAAGCAAAGGCACCTTTGGGGATCTTAACATTCTGCTGGTAAAGAATCCACCTCAGGAGCCGTCCATCAAACCAGCAGAACAGACCGCTGCCCAGTGTTTCAAGGCTCCAGTTGGCCCATTCAGGAACAAACACGACTTAATTTCCTCTCTGGTTTAGTCCAAGGCTTTGGGACTGATGGTGGGAGAAACAGAGCAAATGATGGGTGACAACTACTGCTCTGGGAGCAAAGAGCCATGGTGCTGATGCCATGTGGTGGTCTCAATTCTGTACACTACAGACTTAGCGCATGACCCATGAGCTTGCCTGCTCAATTACCTTCATGAGTAGGGAAGGGGGATGGGGATTGTCTGAGCACAGGAACTGACCACCAGAGGAGGAAAGAGGGGCTTAAACTTCTTTCTAGGAGGGGCATGTACAAGCCTGAGCAGTCAAACTCACAGCAGAGCAGGTAGAGAGGGGTTAAGTGGCGAGGTTTACCCTTTCAAGTGCGAGCTGGGGTACCTGCAACCTTCCTTCTTAAGGCTTTCTCTAGGCCTGTGCTTTTTATCTCCAGTGGGATTGCTACAGAAAAACAAACTGATGAATCCTGCAATCAGAGCTGATTTGGAGGCTGGTCTTGAACCATCTGGACTTAAAGTCACACCCGAGAAGAGGAGGACATGGAGTGCTTGATATTTCACACAGAAATTTTACATCTTCTAAGGCTGAGGTTGACTTTCACATTCAAACAAAAATGTGAAAAAGAATGGTGACTCTCCTATATGAAATATTATACCTAAATAAAAGTAACTCCCAAAGGCTTTGTTTCCTGACTCATTTTGGGTAAATTTTTAATTATTTAAGGTCAATTTAACCAAATCATAAATATCTACATAGCTTCTCATTCCCTGGCCCAAGAGCTAGTGACAGCATTTCCCCCCATTACACAAATAAAAATGTAAACAAAATTTCAAAGGAAAAAAGAAAATAAAAGAATGTTGAAAAGAAATACAAATCAAAGAAATTTATTGGGGTTGACAAAAATACATAATACAGAAACCAAACCAAAACACAACAGAAACAAAACCAGAAACCCCACCCTAGTGGGCCCATGTGCCTGATGTACTGACAATGTGCAGACCCAGAAGCCCGCAAAGCATGGCACTTAATTCATGAGGACCTCCATCTGCACCAGCCTTGCATTGGTGTCCCCAGACGTTCGGTAGGGTATCATTCCAGCAAAGGTAATCAGGGTTCGGGCTTGACTTCGGAGTTGCTGAGAGAGAAGGGAAGAAAGGGAAGGAAATCGGTTAACTTTCAAGTCAGGGCACTGTTTCATGTTCTTCCATCCTCTACCCTGGGGTGTCAGGGACAGATCCCTGGTGGGTGGATGACAGTCGTAACCTCCTCTGTCATATTCCTTTAGCATGACACAAAGTTAGCAAAGCTCGTCCCCAGAGGCCCCAGTTCCACAGGCATCCAAACCCATCTACTCAGCAAAAGGCCGATGGGTTTGCAGGCAAGCCGCCTCACCCCAACACATTTGGCTCGCTTTTGACACAGCCCTGAGCTTCAGAACTGCCTGCTCCAATTTTCTGAGCCTCTTCTCTGGCTGGTTTCTGTCCATCTGCTTCTACAGGGATCTGAGTCTCCAGAGCTCCATGAAGCCCCTGTTACACTGAAGGCAAGGGCTGTGACTGTGCAGTCCCAATCTGGCTCTCTTCCTCCTGTGTGTTTCTCCTCTTCCTTCCTTTCATTCCTCCCGTTCCTCCCTTCCCAACATACATGCTTCGCCTTTCTTTCCCCAGGCAACAGTATTTATGGAATTCCTGGATTGTTCCAGGAGGGGAAAAGGTGGCCCTACAAATTTAAACTGTATCTGGATTAGAAAAGGAGAATCTATAGATACCTTTCTGGACTAGTTACAAGACTTTAAAGAAAAACTCAATAATCATTTACTAGGCTTACTTAAGGACCATTCCAGAAGAAAACTGAAAAGCATATGCTTTTTACCTGATGTGTGAAACAAACTAGCGAATATATGTCCTTATTAATGTCCAGATAAAAAGAAATATGACTTTGTGATGAGAATACCCATTGTATTTTCTTTAGAAGTAAATAAAAGTGCATGAGCTCTTGTTAAATGAGCTCTAGGGATTCACCCTCTCACTGGGCAGCATCTCACTTTAAACCATGAAACCAAGGACATCTGTGGGCTTGCAGATTTCTTGGGCATACAGCTTTTATATATAACCTTCTACTTAATCCTATCCACCCCTACCTTTCAGAAAAAGAAAGAAAAAGGAGAGTGGTGGGCAAAAGGAAGGAGAATGATCTTCAGATGTGGGACATGGCCTGCCAGGGCACCAGCTCTTCTCTGTGGGCAAACCCTCCCCTGAACTGTAAGCAGCACACAGAGCACCAAGAAGTGTCCTCAAAACTCACATTCACAAACATCACTGCACTGGGTTTCTATCTTCAAAAAGGAGTCCTGCCACGTGGTGGGCACCTAGACTCCTATCTGTCCAGGGGCAGGCAGAAGAGCAGCAAGTGCTGTGGTGTGCACCTGGAAAGGCTGACAACTTCAGTGGACCCCTCCTGAGCACTGTTACCCACATTCCTAAAGGTGGAAATTTCTGCCATCTTTCACTAAGCACAAGTTTTGTCAACGACAATGCCTGTGGCGTCACAGTAAAAAGAGCTCACAGATGTCCTTGGAGGCAGAAGACAGATTTTCAAGTCTTCTTGGCTGCCAAAAACAGGTTTCATGTTAGTCACTGAGCTCTTGAGAGTCTCATCGAAAATTAAGTTCAAAGGTTAAAGGAGGCCGGGCATGGTGGCTCAGGCCTATAATCCCAGCACTTTGGGAGGCTGAGGCGGGTGGATCACGAGGTCAAGAGATCGAGACCATCCTGGTCAACAAGGTGAAACCCCCTCTCCTAAAAATACAAAAATTAGGTGGGTATGGTGGTGCGCGCCCGTAGTCCCAGCTACTCGGGAGGCTGAAGCAGGAGAATTGCTTGAACCCAGAAGGCGGACGTTGCAGGGAGCCGAGATTGCGCCATTGCACTCCAGTCTGGGTAACAACAGTGAAACTCCATCTCAAAAAAAAAAAAAAATGGTTAAAGGAAAGGTAATTTTAAAAACACCATTGTGAGGCCATGCACGGTGGCTCACTCCTGTAATCCTAGCACTTTGGGAGGCCGAAGTTGTGGGGGATCTCTTGAGCTTAGGAGTTCGAGACCAGTCTGGGCTATGTGGCGAAACTCCATGTCTATGAAAAGTACAAAAAGCAGCTGGGTATGGTGGTGTGCACCGGTAGTCCTAGCTACTTGGGAGGCTGAAGTAGGAGGATGGCTTGAGCCCAGGAGGTGGAGGTTGCAGTGAGCTGAGATCATGTCATTGCATTCCAGCCTGGGTGACAGAGCCAGACCCTGCCTCAAAAAAGGAGGAAAAAAAAAAAAAAAAAGCAAACACCATTGGACTGTCCCCTTATGGTTTAATTGGATCAAAAAATACTTTTGCTCTTTTTTTGTAATCAGACAACATATGCTATGAGCCCCAGGGTTCCAGCTACCTGGATTCCACTTGACCCATGAACTGCTGGAGGTACCACAGGCAGCAGAAAGTGCACAGGTGTCAGAGAGCCCCAGCCTCCAGACATGGCCCGTTCACCTGCCTACCACCTGGGGGCAGCTTCTTCCCTAAACGACAGCTCAGTTTCCTTGGCTGTGAGAGAGGACAAAATGCTGCCCTAGTTACCTTTCTAGGGTCACTGTGAGCACAGTGACAGGAGAAACAAGGGTTCACATTAATATATTAATGTGTTGATCAAAAATAAAGTATGGTTTTAATAAAAGTATTCACTAATGAGCTCGGACTAACAAAATAAACTTATCTTTTAAAATATGCAAGAGGTTCTTATGGAGTCAACTAGAAATTAGCATTCTTTTTGATCTGTTAACAGGTAAGATCTGCAGACCTAGCACATCTTTTTATTTTTATTTTTTTAAGCTTGAGAAGAGCAGCACCCTTTAATGTTTGATTTCCTCTGGGAGTCTCCTGACACGACACTTATCCAGCTGCCAGATACTAAGGAGAAAGAGCAGTTTCGGGTCATATGGACTCATTAGAGTGCAAAGGATTCCAAACCAGATAGGTGGTGCTCAGCAACATTTCTCACGAACGCTGGAATCTTACAGAGTCACGGTCCTCAATGACTCGCTGGGGCCTGGACGACGAGGATGGACTTGTCCCCTTGAGCCTCTTAAACTGTGTGAACAAGATGTTCATGGTGGCAAGAAGCACTTCTGAGAGGTTGTGCCTGATCTACACAGAAAGAAACACAGAGTAAAGAAAAAAGGAACCAACCTTTGGGGCCAACCACAGGTGGAGAGTGGGCTGCTCCAGGCAGGCCTGGTCACATCACTTCTCACCATTGCCAGGTGGAGAGCCACACAGTCACCCAAAAGGAGCTGATGACACTGAAACGTGAAGTGTGAGAAAAACCCCAAGCAAGGCTGCTCAGGTCAGGTGGTCACTGTTCCTGTTCCTTTATGCCATTTCTCCCTTAGTCAGGGGCAGCAAGCCAAAAGCACGCTGACATCTGGTCAGCATTAGGCTTGGACTGGCCAGCAGAGTGGCTGCCATTAAATAATCTGAACTTGAATGTTAGGAGGTACAGGTGAACACACCAGTTCTCCACAGTCCCTACCATTCCCCACTCTCTCAAACCCACTGGGCTGTTTCCACTGGATCTGCATGGTGCTACCAGAGTCTTTGGGAGCATCTACAAGGGCAGGCCCTGGTGCACTACTTTAATCCCTGATGCAATGAAGGATGCGTCCAAGGAAAGACAGAAATAACAACGGAGCAAGTGGCTAAGGGTAGAAGTCACAGCAGGTATAAAAAGGGAAGGTCAGCAAGGTGCAAGACCTTCTGAACTGTGTGTATCACAGTAGTCAACACCCTTCTTCATGTGCAGAACTGGCCTTACTTCTCTAAAACAGAAACTTTTTTTTTGTTTTTGAGACAAATTCTCCCTCCATTGCCCAGGCTGGAGTGAAATGGTGCAATCTCAGTTCACTGTAGCCTCCCCCTCCCAGATTCAAGCGATTCTTATGCCTCAGCCTCCCGAGTAGTTGGGATTACAGGTATGCACCACCATGCCTGGCTAATTTTTGTACTTTTTAGTAGAGATGGGGTTTTACCATGTTGGCCAGGCTGGTCTTGAACTCCTGACCTCAGGTAATCCATCCACCTTGGCCTCCCAAAATGCTGGGATTATAGGCGTAAACTACCACACCAGGACAGAGACATTTTATAAAAGGCATCTGCTCAATGAGGAACAATTTTAAACTAAAAGACCACTAGTGACATCCCAGAACCAGGCAGCTGGTTCTAGAGTCCATAATGTTGAGAGCTGAGTCGAGTGTAGTCCTAGAGAAGAGTTTACCTGGGCCACACACTGGAATGACTGGGGGAAGTCTGGGCTGCAGCCCATATCAGGGAAAGCAGAATCTCTGGGGTCTAGGCATGAGGGTTTTAAAAAACTCTCCTAAAGATTCCAGCATGCAGCCCAGCTGAGTACCCTGGGCTAGACATTGGCCATGTGCTAGCAACCTGACAGACAGACAGTGGCTCTGGGGCTTGTGGAGTAATAGCTTAGTCCATGGTCACTACATTTGCTTCTTTAAACAAACAGATCAGGGAGGGCAAGGGTAGCAGTGAATCATGATGTGTTTCATTCACCTGACAGAACTACTTAAAGATGATCAGACTTAAGCACTAAAATACCCTCTAGTACAAGTGGATAATAGAAGAATTAAACCAGACCTCACAGGATCAACCAGAAACTGGTTTCTCCCAACAACATGTCAATCACTGAAGTGACTGTATTTTCTGAATCAGGAATTCAGACAATAATCTGTTGGGGATGTATACACGCACAGAAAAGCCAGGCCAAGGTATTTGAAAGGGAATCACTCTGAAAAACTCAGTCTGGATAGTTACTGTAACCAGAACGTTTAAAGCTGTCAGCTACAGGAAAAGAAAAAGCTTTTGGTGGAAGTGGGGAAAAAGGAGTTCCATAACTCAAGAAGAACAAACTTACTTCATCGCTGAAATTTCTGAAGGCGGCCACTCTCTCTTCCACACTTTCCTGGTTCAGAGGCACCAGCTTCAAGCGTTCAATTATCTGTTTAAAACAACCACCAGCCCCATATGACACACAGTCACTTCATCTCTCCACATGTAAAGTCAGCACCTCACATACTGCAAAGGGCTTCTTCATAGGAAATGCCATTCTCCCTTGTACACACAAAGGCTTTGATTCTTCTAACTAGCTAACTTAATTCTTATCCTCATTTTCTGACACAATTTTTAAAATTCAGAGATTTCAAATTACTTTGAGAAACTTCTGTTTTTGATTAAAGGGGAAAAGAATAAGAAAAAAAAGCAACACAGAAAACTCCTTTAAAGTCCCAGGACTGTACTTGTCCTTCATTTAACAAACATACTGGCGATAGCTCCTTTGTTTTAAGTAAATTCCATGAAGTGTTTTGGATTTTCAAGGGCATACATTAACTTGCATTTCAAAAGCCTTCCTGAAACTTACATCAAAAGCTCTATCAATATGGCCACTATGATACTCGTCAAAAAAGGTGATCAAGTCCAAAAGAAGATAGAACGTAGAGTCCACAAATTTATTTGCGCTTATTCCTTGAGCCCTATACCTGAAAGACAAAAATAGGGTGGGGGGAGCGAGGGTGTTATCAGGAACTTCTGTGTAATACATAACTGTGGACTAGCATTTAAAAAGACAGTGGGTATGGTGGTTCATGCCAATCTCAGTTACATGGGAGGCTGGGGCGGAAGCATTGCTTGATGCCAGGAGTCAGAGACGAGACCAGCCTGGACAAACAGTGAAACCCCATCTCCATAAAAAATTAAAATTTAGCCAGGTGTGGTGGCACACACTTGTAGTCCTAGCTACTCAGGAGACTGAGGTGGGAGGATTGCTTAAGCCCAGGAGTTTGAGGTTATAGTGAGCTATGACTGCATTACTGCATTCCACTCCAGCCTGGGTGATAGAGAGAGAGAGAGACACTGTCTCAACAAACAAAAAATAAAAAGCGGCCGGGCGCGGTGGCTCAAGCCTGTAATCCCAGCACTTTGGGAGGCCGAGGCCGGTGGATCACGAGGTCAAGAGATCGAGACCATCCTGGTCAACATGGTGAAACCCCATCTCTACTAAAAATGCAAAAAATTAGCTGGGCATGGTGGCGCGTGCCTGTAATCCCAGCTACTCAGGAGGCTGAGGCAGGAGAATTGCCTGAACCCAGGAGGCGGAGGTTGCGGTGAGCCGAGATCGCGCCATTGCTCTCCAGCCTGGGTAACAAGAGTGAAACTCCGTCTCAAAAAATAAATAAATAAATAAATAAATAAAATAAAAAGCATGAAAATCTCTTGAGCTCTCTGGGTAAAGTTAATTAAGAGTGTAAAATGGTGTTTATTTTGAAACAGCCAAGCACTGATAGTGGATTTGGTATGAATCCACCTACAAGTACTTTACATGGAGCATGGTTCTCCAGCCTTGACCATCATCTCAGCAACCAATCTTCATGAAAGGCGGGAGGCCCTGACTGGCAAAAAGCCCAGCAGCCATCACTGGGGATTGTTTGCTAGGTGGAGAAATCTCATTGACCAAAGAATGTCCTTTTGTGTTACCCCAGGAAAGCATCCCAAACCCAGTTTTCTCTGCGTCATTTTATTAGGAATATCTACAGCGAGTGCAAAAAGTAATGTTGTTAGCCTCAGCCTGGGACTTAAACTAGTTAAAAGTCTGATAATTCAATTAACTCACTGGTGATCCAGGTAGTCTGAAATACTGGCCATACCTCTAAAAATCTCCCCCATCTAACCATCACTAGCTTTGCTCCTGAAGGCCTTTGAGAGGGCTGATGAAAGTATACAACAATATACAGGTGAGCATAATGCTTAGAATTAAATGTCATGTGCATAATTAAAATACTGAGCTGCCCTTTTTTTTTTTTTTTTTTTTTTTAAACGACGGGGTTTCACCCTGTTGGTCAGGCTTGTCTTGAACTCCTGACCTCAGGTGATCCACTCGCCCTGGCCTCCAAAGTGCTTGGATTACAGGCATGAACCACCACGCCCGGCCTTGACATGCCCTTTCATACCTATTTCTTTGGCAAAAATGTTAAGTCTGGTAGTACCGAGTGCTAATTCTGATGTGGGTATGAAGGAATTTACACAGTGCTGGTGGCATGGTGAGTTAGTAGAACCACTTTGGAAGGCTGTCTGCTGTCACCTAGTAAAGCTGAACATGCATTTGGGTGGGCATGGGTGGCCTGGCACTGACAGTAGCACCCTCAGGGTCCCATGGAGCTAGCTCCTAGCTTACCGTTCGGCAATGGAGAGCGCCATGTTCTTCAGCCTCTCCTTGTTGGACTGCGGGGCACTGATCTGGGGGACGACAGGGCTCAGCAGTTTGTTCATCAGTTCCAGTACCTTATCAGCATTCTGCTCAAGTTTTTAAAATTAAGGAAGCAATCAATAAAGTAATCCATAAAAGGAACAACTATATAATGCCCACTGCCTACGAAAGAAAACTTTCTGGGGTGATGGATGCAAGTGTTGGTTTCAAACTCTTGGCCTCAAGTGATGCGGCCGCCTTGGCCTCCCAAAGTGCTGAGATTACAGGTGTGAGGCCCTGCAGCTGGCCTATAGCTGTCTTTTTGCCTACTTTTCTCAGTTGATAAGGAGAGAATGTAATCTTCTTTAGGTCACAGAATCCTTAGCAGTTATCACATGTATTAGGTAGAAACATGTATTCTAGTCCTCTCAAAATGCCCTGCTGTGGTCTTATTTTCTTTCACTCCCTCCTGCACATGGATGTGGTCTTATTTTCTAACACCACTGCTCCCCAGTGTGTCTGTGGCTGCCACAAGGTCAGCATAATGCCATTTTCAACAGTGGCTTCACCATCAGAATGTGATGGATGCTAATTCTGCTGCCAAGTAAGGAAAGAGTTCAGTGCCTGCAGGATATCCTTTCAATACGCTGTTCTTGTTTGGCCAGAAATACCTTATGAGCAGAAATAATTCTGTAAAGTGGGAATTTTGTCCTGCCTGGACCATTAACTGTCTAAGCACTAGAGAAAATGCCTCTGCAGGGAGAGTGCTATCACAACCCTGTCGAAGTGGCTGTTCATTTAATGCCGAAAGGCCGGCAGATTTGTGAAGTACAGAAGAGGGAAGAGAGCTCACTTTACCTTGGCAAGGTCATACAGCTTTGCTGCCTCTTCAAATAGTCCCTTATTTTCTGCCACGGAAGCAACTTTGTTGATAATAGGCTTTGTGTCACTAGTAAATTTATCTATGACTCCAGGCTGACAAAACAAATTATGGAGGGAGAGGAAGAGAGAGATGGGTGCACAGAACTATTATTTTAAACACAGAGAAACAATTAGGATCCAAAAAATACTTCAACTAAAAATGCTTGCCCTGGGCAATGCATGTATTTCATCAGCTAGACTCTGGCTTTCTTGAAGATATAAAGTCCTATTAAAACTATAAAAGAGATCAAGGAAACTACATGTGAAAGGGCAGACTTACTGGAAGCGCAGAGAAGTCAGCAATAAGACATCTGGGCTTTCTAATTTTCCAAAATGACCCAGAGAGTCGGTAAAATCAATGATTTTAAATTTGCTGATGAGTAGGGACTAGGGAGAAAAATCAGGAGGCACAGAGAAAATATCTGAAGGATTCTGGATTTGTGTTCTAAGACAGATGGCAAAAGGAACTCAGTGCTGAAAAAACACAATTTAAGTGGTAACAGGACATTTCTTTAAAAAATCACCATCACCACTCAACAGCAACTAAATGGTCAGGAGAGCATGAGAGAGGCCTTAGGCACCCTGGGAGAATGAAGGCAACTGCATAACATCTGTGCCTGGCCATTCTGCTTCTCCACTGGCACCGGATTCTCAGAGCTGGACCAGGTTGAGGTGACTTGCCTTGCCACTCTAGAAGCACCAGGGAATAAGGTCTTATCTATGTTTCTGGCTCTGTCAACTCATACACACTGGGATCCTCCTGGCCCCAGTGCAGCCTGTTAAAGAAACTATGCAAAGTGCTCAGCACAGTGCCTGGTGATTATCATCACCCAATAAGCCTGGCCACTGTCATCAGCACTGTTACTTGCCTTTCTTCTGAGGGAGGTGGTATGAGCAGTGTGAGCTCATCTACAGATTGCTGGGTCAAAACTACTCATTTTTACAAATGAGAAAAGTCAGTCCCTGAGGGGCAAGTGACTTTCCAAAGACCAGAGGGAGATTCAGGGTCAGAACTGGTCTCTGACAACAGGAACTTTGACCCTCCTGCCATGACAATCAATGGGCAAAGTAAGTCTTGGGGATCCCTCAGGCTTCCAGGAGTCACTGTGGAGTTCAAAACCCTTGGAAATTGCATTTTGAAGGAAGTCAGGTGCACTTGCAACTTTTGCATCTTGGGAAAATGGGTGCAGTAATCAATTTGTTTTTCTTGCATGTTTTCTGAGCCAAGAATGACAGAAATGTATAAGAGCATTCTCAGCTCAAAAAAACGACAGGCATGAACAAATGAATATTCTGAACACAGTAAAAAAGCTATCTAATCACAAATTTACATATTTTAAGGAGATATGTGTGTGTAAAACCAAGGTAATAATCTGGGCCCATAATTTTCATTCAACTTTAAAAATTAAGTAACTCTGTTCAGATTTGTATTTTTCATACCTTAAATCTTAAAATCTAAGTGTATTCTTTTGGTATTTATTAATTCCCAATGGCTAAAAACATTTCTCTAAGGATGCATTTAACCCACCTTTCTACTTCCATCATTCTCTAGTTTCCCAAGAATCATATCGAACTGTGGAAGGAAAAAAACTTTACTCAAATTATTGGACAAAGATATAAACATAATCCATAAGTCTTCAGAGAGAAAAGAGGGTAATACAATGGGATGAATGGGATAAGTCTTACGCAACTAAAAATCAGTGTGACTGAAACAAATATTTTCAATGTTAGAAACCAAAGAAAATTCCAAAAACCCTCTAGGCCTTATCCACCACAGCCATATTGAAGAAAACATGCAGTATGGAATTAGCATGGGAACATGAACACTGAAAACCATGGGGAGGAGAGAAAAGGAAACCCACTCACCTCTCGGCTTTCAATCACAAGCTCACTCACACAGCGCAGAAACATGTTTTCTCCTTGACTATCTTTCTCATCCCTGTAAGGGAAAAAAACAATTCAGTTTCTAGTCCGGACATGAGGTCTCTAACAGTCATTCTCAGAATGGCAGAAATCGAAACTAGCTGAAATAAATGTTCAAAAGCAAATGTTACCTGAGGAAATAGAAGTACTGAAGGGCTTCCCTTGGGTCCGTGGACTCAAACTTCCGGGTGTAGAGCATGAGGAGCCGCACAAAGTTCAGCCGCCGCATGCAAGGAGGGTCACCAGGCTCATGGCTGACTGCATTGTGGGGGTCAGAGTGGGTCACACCACACTGCCCCACTGACCCATGCAACCCAGAAACTATGGAAGCTGAATCTGCAGACCCAGCAGCGTCTACTCCTACAGCCCAGTCAATATTTGCCAATATAAGCTTTGGCCAGTCCTTTTTACCACCCCATCCTCAATTCCTCTCCAGGCCCAGAGTGGAGAAAACAGCACTTTGCCGTAAATTACTAATACGTGGTCTTTGAATGAAAAGATAATCCAACTGACCATTACAGCATGTGCTCTGGGCTGATTTTGCTGCACCAATAAGGAACCCACAGCCATGCATCCAATTTACTTCCTCTGTCTCCCCTGACTCTCTCATCCCAGGCAGGTAGGCACATGGCTGGCTAGGGTTTCCAATGTCATTAAAGCAAGGGCCCTAATGGAAATCAGACCCATGACTCTAGGGACTGTTCTTCTGCACTATTTTCCAGGCAATCAGACTGGCCACAAAGCTAGCACTTTGAACAGCACTTTATATAGTTAACTTCCAAGGGAATACTAATGTGGGGGAAAGCAAGAACCCTAACACTAATCATCTAAAATGCTCAGCTGTCTACAATGCTCTAAAATGACTGCTATCCTTTGCTCAAATCCTTATTGGTTGTGGTTTTGGGGCACCAGGGATGTGCTGTGGTTACATTACTGCCAACCCAATCCCAAATACTCACGGAGCTGAGCACTCTGTCCGGAGGACTTTAAAAGCAATTTCAGCTCAAACAGCACAAGTGCCACATGGACAGCATGGCAGCGCAGCCGCTCCATGCGAAAAAGAAAGGCAATTGCAGCTTCAAACTGTGCTGTCAGGAATAGGACTTGGAAGTAGAGGAAGGGCTGTTGGTTCACTGTAAAGTGTGACTCGCCTGGGGAAAGAGGAGAGGAGATAAAACCAACTCGGAAGGTGCTCACCAGCGGCCCATATGTGCTAAAACTACCAGCACCTACACCCCCAGACAGCAGCCCTGTGGGCCTATAGAACTTGCTGGGCAGAAGAAAGCACCAGCATGAGCCTGAATTGATCGAGGGAGTCCTGAAGACAGTCAACTGCCATGTGAAATGTGACCTGGCTCCTCCACCTTCTCTAGACCTCATGACTAGAAAGTATGACTGTGTTGTAAAACTCCAACTGCTTGCATTAGGTGGGAGAGACACAGAGTTAAGGACTTAAAATGGACCACAAAGGGAGTATTCATCTCCTTTACCCTGTTAAGTACTCAAGGAGATAAATGAAGATTTCAAAAAAGCTTCAGTTTACTCATATTCACAGAAATTTGAATGCAACAATTGCTAACCACTATTTGGAATCTTCTTTTCTTTCCAGTTTTTAAATAAGGGGGGAAAAAGAAGGAAGGCAATGTCTTTCTACTCTGTGCTCAGATCTAGTGACTTGTAAGATCTACTAGGAAGCAACAGCTGTCTTCTTTGTCTCTCTCTGAGCATATGTCTACTAGAACAGTTCAAAGAATTAGAGCAAACAGATTATTGTGTATGACCATGTAAGTTTTATGCACTTCTTAAGGCCACATGCCGTTTGTTTAAATTTGAAATGGTAATTTTGCTGTGTTTTGCTTTGAAGATCTACAGAAGTTTTGAAGGAAAGACAAAAGTTCAGGGATGAAAAATTTTCCCAGAGGAAAACTGAAGTACTCATCTTAAGTGGACAAGAGATGGGAAAGGTGGTTATGTACCGGATCTTACCATAGTCTTCCAACAACTGTTTCTGGAACTGTGAGAGAGTGAGCCGGTCTTGTGGGGAGCTGGTGCCATCGTCGTCAAAACACACTTGGTTCAACTAAATCACCAAGAGAAACATATGCATTGGTACAAACTACACCCTGAGCCACATGCACAGAGTTGTAGCTGTTCAGCAGCCAGGCTCAACGCTGTCAGCTGGAAGCTGTGTTTAAGGCTATGGTTATGAGCTGGGAATTACAAAACAAAAAATGGGGCCAGGAGATGAGGAACCTGCTGATCTTGATCACCTTACTGGCATCATACATTAAGCAGGTAAAAATCTTTGTGGGGACATGAGCACAGAAAAAGGGTAAAGCCCTGCGTGGGCAGGGGAAACAGTGCCTGCCTTCAGCCACAGGTAGTCCTCAGTTTTGTCCGCCACTTCACTCTGGTTGTCAGTGACATCACATCTGCCAATGATACAGTACACAGCCCGCTTGTAGGGATCTGTATTGTTCCTGAGAGCCCTGCGGTAATGCAGCCGGAGCTTGTTTTCTGTAGCTGGGGACAATCTACAGACATAAGGGAACAGACAGATAGATAAACACTCAATAAAGATCCTCAAGGGCATCTGACAGCATCCCAGTTGCCAAACACGTAAGAGCAGGGAAGCCTTCCTTCATCAGGGGTAAGAGACACTGTTTCTGCCCCATCCCCTCCCCTTGGTACAAGTGCTGTAGCCTGACTTGGAACTACCAGCACCTACATCTATTGGCCTGCCAGTTTTCTGTCGGCTGAGGGTTCAGGGGAAGGTCAGAAATGCCAGGGAATTAGAACTCCATTCCATACACCATGGAATATTATACAGCAATCAGAAATGATGAGTTTGTGTCGTTTGTAGGGACATGGATGAATCTGGAGAACATCATCCTCAGCAAACTGACACAAGAACAGAAAATGAAACACCGCATATTCTCACTCATAGGCGGGTGATGAAAAATGAGAACACATGGACACAGAAAGGGGAGTACTAAACACTGGGGTCTACTGGGGGGAAAAGGGGAGGGCCACTGGGAGGGGGTGGTGGGGAGGGATAGCCTGGGGAGAAATGCCAAATGTGGGTGAAGGGGAGAAGGAAAGCAAAGCACACTGCCATGTGTGTACCTACGCAACTGTCTTGCATGCTCTGTTCATGTACCCCAAAACCTAAAATCCAATAAAAAATTAAAAAAAAAAAAAAAAAAGAACTCCATTCCACATCCCAGCAGCACGCAAGCAGTAATGGACAGGAGTGGATCCTTCCCTTAACTGTCTTACCCCCTCTCTGGCCTCCACACTCCCTTATTAATGTGAGATCACCTCCTAAATAAACAACTTGCACTCAAATCTCCTTCTGGGGGAACCTTAAGACATTAACCCTACTTTAAATTCTAAATTGAGCAAGACAGGGGCTTGTGGTTTGAAGCAGTCTCTTGACATGACATTATTAATGCTGCCAAGGAAAGTATCCTAGTTTTTTACAAGTACAACTAGAGTAACCATCATTTCTTCTACATACATATACATATATATAACCTCAGTTTGAGTATGAACTTAAGACCAATTACATTAGCAAAATCCAAGAGAAATTAATGCTAAGCAGTTTCTTAATGTAAGAGAACTTAAAAGACTCAACAAATTAATTCAGTGATTACATTTTAATTTTACTAACTTCTAATTCTAGCCTTTAAGCTAAGAAGTACATGACAATATATTTCCATATTGGGTTGACCAGAAAAAGCACTAAGTGTTAACAAGAAAAGTGTAATTTTTAAAATGTCCCATTTTATAAGGCATCCTTGATATGCCTTAGATTTATAGAACAAGTCAAATCATGCTCCTGAACCAGCCCCTTCCTTATAGCAACAGAAACATTCCCAAACACACACGCATGCATGCCTAGACAGTGTCAGAATAGGGCATTCTTTTATGGTTTTCACTCCTTATTCCCAAGAGAGTTATATTTGCTTTCAAAACCCCCTTTTTCCCCCAGGCAGAATCCTGTTTTGGGCCCGTGCAGGGAAAAGAGAATAATGACAGTGAAGGTCACCCCTTCAATCTGCATGGCTGCCACTGGTCGTGCCACCTCATTCACATACCTTCTGTCCTTGCTGTTCATGTACTCCTGGAACCAGGTTTTAAACTCTCCCAGTTGGTGCTGGGCTCGATTAACTACCTGTGAAGCAGCAAGCAGGTCTCCACAGCGCATGCAGTAGTAAATCAGGGCCCACACAGGATGGCCTTCCACCTCTCCATCCTAAAAGAGGAAGAGCACGTGCTCAAAATCAACAAGGAAAAGCTGAGTGCTTTCATATGTGCTAAAACTGAGCTAAGCCCCTCTTCTTATACTAAGTCACTTAATCCTCAGAACAGCTCCCTGTGGTAAGAACCATTAACAGCCTTTTCTTCCTTGATTTACAAACAAGGAAACTGAGGCATGGAGGGGTTAAGTCATTTGTCCAAGTAAGCTGTTAAGTGGCAGGATGGCTCCAGAGCTTTTCCTCCAAAGCGCTATGTACCCTACCTGATCCAAAGCCACCCTGTGGTTTTTCCATGGACTTCCAGTGGCCCACAGTAAACTAGGTGACGTTCTTTTGTGATAATGTACACACATGGACTCCTACAACCCTCACAAAGCAAGGGCTAAAGACGTCAATGACCAGTAAGAGACTACCCTTACAGTACTCAAGTTTATAAAATGTCATAAACATTTTACTCAGTATCTTGGTGTCAGGTACTACTGGGCACTGGGGATCTGAGAGACAGACAGCTCCGCTCCCACTCTCCGAATACTATTGCTTACTTTATCCCAAGTCTGGTTTTGTCATTTGTCTGCAGAGCGGCCTATGCTTACGCTTCTCTCTTTGCTTTTCTTCAGCTCCTCTAGAAGTAGACCTCAGGCCTCCTTTCTTGGCACTTCCACCCTCCCCTCAGCAGGATTCTTTGTAAAATCCAGATTTGAACTTGCCCACGTAAACCCTTTGAGCTGTTTAAGTCCAAAGTGCTGGGCCTGGCACTCAAGGCCTTCACTAGTGGGCCCCAAGACCGCCAAGACCTACAGTGCACCCAATCCTCCAGATACTCTCTCCTGCCTCCATGCATTTGTGCATGTGTTACCTCCCCCTGGAATAATCTTTTCCAAAACCTGAAGTTGAACTCCTATTCTTTAAGAGCAAGTGTGAATGTCACCCCTTTATGAAGCTAATCTCTGTATCCTGCCACCCTTTGCACAAGGCTCCAGTTTAGGGCTCTGCAAACTGTGTGATAATCTCCCCAATTGGACCATGAGCTGAGAAGAGAGACATCCTAAAAACCACATTCAACTCCATTCTTCCAGCTGTTTTAGCCAAAAATCTCAGAAGTCATCCATGAATGCCTCTCACACTCAAATCCATGTTCTTCAGCAAGTCCTACTGGCTCAACTTTCAAAACATCCAGAACCCAGTCACATTTCCCCATGCAGTCTCCTCCACCTGGGCTAAGCAACTACCACCATCACTGGGACTTCTGTATTATCAGCCTCCTAAGAGGTCTTCACTTTCTGTCCTCACCTCTCTCTGGTCTCATCTCCATACCATAGTCTCCGCATATATCCTCATTTTAACTGAAAATGCCATCTGAGGGCAACTGCTCTGGGGGTGTAACTGATTACACAGCGAAAGTTGTCAGTACCTGTAGTCCAGGCAAGGGAGCTGGAAGTTTAATGTTCAGGAAACTTCGAACCAACTGGTAAGTCCCAGGCACCCCACCCAGTTGGGCCTGATGCAAATTTCCAAAGACAGTCACAAGGGTGTAATTCTTATAACTGAAAAAAATTTGAAAGAAAAAAAAACAGGGAAAACTGAAAACATTTATTATACACCTCTATGCCCGTATCCACAACATTAGACTATAGCTGGAAGGGCAAGGCTTAGACTTCAAACCCAATGCAGAAGAGTAAATAATACATGCTTAATGAAGCATACTACGTTATTTACTCAGTGGGCACTGGATCACAGATTTCTCATTACTGCAGAAACTCAAAAGAATTCCTGGAGGAACACAACTGAGGACTTCAAATATATTAAGGGTGGATATACAGAATAATAATTGCTCCAGCTCACAGCCTAATGCTCTAGTGGGTTCTTTTAAAATGTTTTAGTTTGAAAAATTTCAAACCCACAAAAGTTAAAAGAGTAGTTCAATGAATGCACATAACCTTTTACCTAGATTCACCAATTTTTAACATTTCTTTGTGTGTTTTCTCTCTCCACACACACATAACATATATACTTGTGCTTTTCTTCTCCCCCCAAACCACTTGAAAATATGTTATAAAAATCAGGGGCTACTTTATCTGTACATACTTACCATGTGGCTTGAAGAAGTAGGACCTTCTCCTGCCTAACCTCAATATCATTATGATACCAAGAAATTGAACATTAATTTATTATCAAAAACATAATCCATATTTATTTCTTAATAGTGTCCTTTACAGTTTTCATTTTAAATCCAGAATCTCAACAAGAAAATATAATTGTCATGCTACTTTCCCTTAATCTAGGATAATTCCACTAATTCTACCACTACTTTTGTCTTTCATGACCATGATCTTTTTTTTTTTTTTTTAAAAGAGACAGGGTCTTGCTGTGTCACATGGGCTGGAATGCAGTGTCTTATTTTTTTGAGATGGATTCTTGCTCATGTTGCCCAGGCTGAAGTGCAGTGTGATCTTGACTCACTGCCACCTCTGCCTCCCGGATTCAAGCATTTCTCCTGCCTCAGCCAACCAAGTAGTTGGAATTACAGGCGCAGACCACCGCACTCAGCTAATTTTTGTATTTTTTTTTTTTTTTTTTTTCTTGAGACAGAGTTTCACTCTTGTTACCCAGGCTGGAGTGCACTGGCACGATCTCGGTTCACTGCAACCTCCGCCTCCTGGGTTCAGGCAATTCTCCTGCCTCAGCCTCCTGAGTAGCTGGGATTACAGGCATGCACCACCACACCCAGCTAATTTTTTGTATTTTTAGTAGAGACGGGGGTTCACCTTGTTGACCAGGATGGTCTCGATCTCTTGACCTCGTGATCCGGGCCTCGGCCTCCCAACGTGCTGGGATTACAGGCTTGAGCCACCGCGCCCGGCCTTAATTTTCATATTTTAAGTAGAGATGGGGTTTCACCATTTTGGCCAGGCTGGTCTCGAACTCCTGACCTCAAGTAATCTGCTGCCTTGACCTCCCAAAGTGCTGGGATTACAGGCATGAGCCACCATGCCCGGCCCACAAGTACCTTTAAAGTACTCTACAGCCTCAAACTCCTGGGCTCAAGCAATCTTCCCGCCTCAATCTCCTGGGCTCAAGCAATCTTCCCGCTTCAATCTCCTGAGTAGCTGGGAGTAGAGATACATACCACCATGCCCAGCTGGACACTGACCTTTTATTTATAGAGTCCAGGCCAGCTGTCCAGTAGAATGTCTTGTAAGCTGAATATATCTCTTCATGATTCGATTCAGGTTCAATTTTTTTTGCCAATAGTCCTACATAGCTAATGCTGGCACTTCCCACTGAATTGCAAAATGAAGTAGGTAGTAGGTTTGCGTCATTACTGGTAACTAGATTTGATTCACGTAGTTGAAAGGTGTCCACCAGATTTCTCCATTACAATGTATTATTCTCTTTGTACTTAATATGTAGTCTGTGATGCAATACACGCAAGTCATGTAAGTATTCTATTCACCAACAATCTTTTACTCAATGGTTTTAGTTTCCGTTGATGGTCCTTGTCGAACCAGTTATTACACTGGTGGTTGCAAAATGATAGTTTTCTACCATTCCCTCTTCATTTATTTGCTAGTATGCTTCTTAAATCCTCTGTAGGGGTTTAAAGTGTTTTCATACCAAGATTAAATAGTCCATTTTACAGATACCCAAATATGTGGTTAATATAATAACTTTCTAAATATAGTATGCTCTTATATCTAAAACAAGACTACCTCAAAAAGTCAGGTGCTCAACACCAGGTTAAGTATAACAACAGAGAGAGTGAAACAAACAACCTAAATCTTAATAATAGGAAACAGACTCATTGAAATTTTTTTTTTTTGAGACAGAGTCTTCCTCTGTTGCCAGGTTGGAGTGCAGTGGCACGATCTCCGATCACCATAACCTCCACCTCCCAGGTTCAAGCCATTCTCCTGCCTCAGGCTCCCGAGTAGCTGGGACTACAGGTGCCTGCCACCACGTCCAGCTAATTTTTGTATTTTTAGTAGAGATGGGGTTTCGCTATGTTAGCCAGGATGGTCTCGATCTCTTGACCTTGTGATCGGCCCACCTTGGCCTCCTAAAGTGCTGGGATTACAGGTGTGAGCAACAGCAGCTGGCCAACTCAATGAAATATTATGCAGTTATGAAAAAAAATACTTATACTTTAAGAATGGGGAAAAAAGAAATATAATAAGGTAATAGGAGCCTCTAGATGGTATAGGGGGTCTTCCCCTCTTTTTTCAAGTCTTATTTTAATAAGCATGTATCATTTTTATAATGAAAAATAAACAGCTGGGCGCGGCAGTGCATGCCTGTAGTCCCAGCTACTCTGGAGGCTGAGGTGGGAGGATCACTTGAGCCCAGGAGTTCTGGGCTGTAGTGCACTATGCTGATTGGGTGTCTGCACTAAGTTTGGCATCAATATGGTGACCTCCTGGGAGTGGGGGACCACCAGGTTGCCTAAGGAGTGGTGAACCAGCCCAGGTCAAAAATGAAGTAGGTCAAAACTCCCGTGCTGATCAGTAGTGGGATCACACCTGTGAATAGGCACTGCACTCCAACCTGGGCAACACAGCGAGACCCCATCTCTATTAAAAAAAAATAAATTAAATTAAATTTAAAAAAAGAAGAAAAATAAACAAAATTTAATAAATGTTAATGAGTTCCCCATCAATGGAAGGTTTTTTTGTTTTTTGAGACAGTCTCACTTTGTTGCCCAGGCTGGAGTGCAGTGGCATGATCTCGGCTCTCTGCAACCTCTGCCTCACAGGTTCAAGTGATTCTCCTACCTCAGCCTCCCAAGTACCTGGGACTACAGGTGCGTACCACCACACCCAGCTAATTTTTGTATTTGCAGTAGAAACAGGGTTTCACCACATTGGCCAGGCTGGTCTCGAACTCCTGATCTCAGGTGATCCACCCACCTGGCCTCCTAAAGTGCTGGGATTACAGGCATGAGCCATTGTGCCAGGCCTGGAAGTATTTATAAGCAGAGGTTGGATAACAGATCGAAGAGTTCTGTAGCAGCCAGGACAAACAAGTGCCTACTGTGGCCTCTTCCAACTTGCATGAAGACAGTCCATGTGCTGACAAGGGCCTAAGTTAAAGAAGTCTAAACTCCTTGAAGGCTAAGAAATATATATTCTGCCTCAAATCTTGGAATGTGGCAGGGAAGAAACAGACTAATTCTATATTTTCACAACATTTCAGTCTTATAATTGAAAAATTTTGGGGGACAGGTCTACTTTGCCATCTGGTGCATTACATCATTTGAACTATCATATGCATACTGTCAGTGAATCAACAGCAGTGAAAAAAATTTTTAAACTGAGTATAATTATTCTAAAATATCCCCTTTATCAAAGGTGACAATAAATGCTTATAAAAGACAGCATCAGGGAATGATGCCACTGGAGTGAAAAACAAACTTTATGATTATGAACAAGAAATTCCCAAATAGCTCCAAGAAGCACTGTTAAAGAAATTAATGGAATAAGATAATTTAAAAAACTAAATGAAAAGATGAAAAGACATGGAATGGCTTACCAGAGATATAAAACCAAGGAAAGCAACCTAGTACCATTGGTGAAGTCAAGCACCGATGTTAAGGATTAGAGTTGATCAAGAAAAAAGTAGCCATGAGCAATCATACATTTACACTCACTTAAAAAAAAAATCCTAGGCCAGGCACAGTGGCTCATGCCTGTAATACCAGCACTTTGGGAGACCAAGGCCAGTGGATCACCTGAGGTCAGAAATTCAAGACCAGCCTGGCCAACATGGTGAAACATGTCTCTACTAAAAATATAAAAATTAGGTGGGCATGGTGGTGGGCTACCATGCTAGTAGGGGAAGTTGAGGCAGGAGAATCGTTTGAACCCAGAAGGCAGAAGTTGCAGTGAGCTAAGATTGCATCATTGCACTCCAGCCTGCAACAAGAGCAAAACTCCATCTCAAAAAAAAAAAAAGCTGGGTGTGGTAGCACACACCTGAGGAGGCTGAGTTGGAAGGATTGCTTGAGCCTGGGAGGCAGAAATTGCAGTGGACCCAGATTATGCCACTGCACTCCAGCATGGGTGACAGAGTCAGTCCCTGTCTCACATCAAAAAAAAAAAAAAAAAAAGTTTTTATATAGTATAAGAAATTCTGACTCATTTTGTTGACTGGTAACAAATAAATGCTACTATGTATGTAGGTTCTTTATGGGTGAAGATAGATAAACCCAAAATTTAATCACAAAAAATCAGCCAAAGCTTGAATTATTTTATACCCTTTATGCCTATGCCTATGCCTACAATGAAGAATAAAAAAACCATTTCAAGCTCCGGATTTTTCTTAACCGGCTAATGGAGGCTAGTGAGTGTAATCTGTCTGATGGTGTTCACTTCAGTAGCTCTTGTCTAATTAACATAGCATTTAGTATAAAAACCTAGTCTCTCCCAGCACTTTGGGAGGCCAAGGCAGGTGGATCACAAGGTCAAGAGATCGAGACCATCCTGGTCAACAAGGTGAAACCCCATCTCTACTAAAAATACAAAAAAAAAATTTAGCGGGGCATGGTGGCGCATGCCTGTAATCCCAGCTACTTAGGAGGCTGAGGCAGGAGAATTGCCTGAACCCAGGAGGCGGAGGTTGCGGGTGAGCCAAGATCGCACCATTGCACTCCAGCCTGGGTAACAAGAGTGAAACTCCGCCTCAAAAAAAAAACAAAAAACAAAAAAAAAACCTAGTCTCTGCTGTACCAAGTTTGAATTACCTCAGTAACATACAAGGAAATCTTCTGACTTCCTAATGAAGTATTATTTTATTTACAAAAGGCGATCTCACTACAAGGCTGCTGGCAGGTTCAGAGGCTCCGGGGCAAAAGCGTGCAATTTAGCAAGTGTATTCAACAGGGCTTTCTATTCTCAGGCCAGCAGGGAGGAGCCCAGCACCCTGTCTCTAAAATAAAGAGGTTCTATTGTACACTCATGACAACACTGCTGGCCAATTCAGAGTTGGAAGGAGTGTCCACATAGTGGGATAATGGCACAAGTCCTATTAATGAAGGGAACAATACGTTAGGCACAAAGGCACTGCCACGAACACCTCAGTGACCAACTTTCATTAGTGAAGAGGTGGCAAAGAAACCCAGGCATAAATCACAGGCATTATCAGCTGGGAATGACCCTGAGTTGTGGGTATTAACGAAGTAGAGTCAGAATAAAAATAAGGGGAAAGGAGTCTTCCTAGGGTTTGAAGGTGGTAACATGGCTGGGAGTAAAATTAAAATGCGGAGAGAAAAGAAAAGAGCCTAAGGAGTAATGGCTGAACCACATTAGAAAAAAGATTATGACCTAAGGCACTGTGGTCTCACTTATTAAGAGACAGTATGGAGAAAGAAAAAGAATTCGAACAGTGCTCACCTACCATGATTTTTTAATGTGTGATTTTTATACCACTGCAGCAATAGTCCTGGTAGAAAAGTGAAACAGGATTTCTAAAACAGGATTACAACTCTGAGCCTTCTTCAATTTAACATAATAAATCTTAAATTATACTAGCTACAGCACACTTAGCCTGAGGATGACTTAAGATTTGAGAAACAGTTGACTGCAAGGGATTTGAAAGCCAGCCCCACTGTGCTATTGCTGCCTTACCTCTGCTCAAGGTACGCCAAGGCCTGCCTGACAAACTCCATGCGCACTTCCACGCTGCTGCGATTCTTCAGGGGGTCAGTTGCTGGTGTCAACAACACGTCTGTCATTTGTTTCACCATGGTCCACATGTCAGAAATGTTCTGCACATAAACAAAACTGCATGTGACAATGCGGCAGGGCTGGCGAAATTATCTGGTTCTTTGTGGTATTCTGACCTCCAAGGTGGGCAAAATGAGGTGGGGGATGAGGTTAATGTCATCTGTCTGCGATGGCTAGGCTTAAGCTCAGTGCAGAAGATGCAACTCTGCTGGTCAGACTCAGAGTTTCATCCACCAATGAGCACCCTCACCCCTGCCCTCAGTTGGTTTTCAGATCAATTACTATTCCAGGTCTGACATAACCACATACATAATTAAAACTACACAGAAGTTGCAAGAACACTGAATCTCAGCGGGTTATCCCTTAAAAGACGGTGAATCCATTTATAGTCATACAATGTTCTAGGAGCTTCAACTCAAAGAGCTGCATTTCAGTCCTTACAAGGTTATCTGAGTTTCTTAAGGCTTAAAATAAGAGTTTAACCTAATGATACGGGTTTTGTCCTCCCAAAGACGCTCCAGGGGCCACCAATCTTACCTTACTTGGTGAGTGTCACAGCCTACCATTTTCCTTCCCACTCACTCCCTTCCAAAGACGCCTCCCAGGAAAGAAGCGGGTGTTCTTTCCTCTGTGTTACCACCACACAGCTGGGACTCTCTCTCCCCAGAATCCTCCTGCCTGTAAATTGCTCCTTAAAAACAACATGTTCCCTGAACCCTTGGCAATACTTTGAATGTATGAGTCTTTGGAGGATAGCACCAATTGGAAAAAAAGCAGTTTATACTTGTTCCAAAGAAAAATAGAAAAGCCTGTTTTCATGGTCTCTCTCAAAAATTAAAACATTAGAATGTCCAGACAAATGTGACTCTCCCTAGGTAGTGGAATGATTGGTTGAAACCTTACTTTCTTCTCTGTTTACATTGTCTTATATTTTATTATTTAAAAAAATTAAGTTTGAGATCAGCCTGGCCAACATGGTGAAACCCTGTCTTTATTAAAAATACAAAAAATTGGCCGGGCGCAGTGGCTCACGCCTATAATCCCAGCATTTTGGGAGGCCAAGGCGGGTGGATCACGAGGTCAAGAGATCGAGACCATCCTGGTCAACATGGTGAAACCCCGTCTCTACTAAAAATACAAAAATTAGCTGGGCACAGTGGTGCGTGCCTGTAGTCCCAGCTACTCGGGAGGCTAAGGCAGGAGAATTACTTGAACCCAGGAGGCAGAGGTTGCGGTGAGCCGAGATCGTGCCATTGCACTCCAGCCTGGATAACAACAGCGAAACTCCGTCTCGAAAAAAAGAAATACAAAAAATTAGCCGGGTGTGGTGGCAGGCGCCTGTAGTCCCATGTACTCAGGAGGCTGAGGCAGAAGAAGCACTTGAACCCAGGAGGCGGAGGTTGTAGTGAGCCGAGATCTTGCCATTGCACTCCAGCCTGGGCAACAAGAGCAAAACTGTCTAAAAAAGAAAAAAAAAGGAAGGAAGGAAGGAAGAAAGGAAGGAAAGAAAAAAGTTGGATGCTTTTTTTTTTACACAGGGCCTCACTCTGTCACCCAGGCTGGAGTACAGTAGCATGGTCATGGCTCACTGAAGCCTTGACCTCCCTGGACTCAGGTAATCCTCCCACCTCAGCCTCTCAAGTAGTTGGGACTACAGGTGCATGCCATCACACCTGGTTAATTTTTCTAGTTTTTGTAAAGAGGAGGTCTCACCATGTTGCCCAGGCTGATCTTGAACTGCTGGGTGCAAGCAGTCCACCCACCTTGGTCTCGAAAGTTGCTAGGGTTATAGGTGGGAGCCACCACACTGGGTTGAGCAATTTTTGAAAAGACAAAAAATCTGTGTATGGGTGCTTGCTTCCATAACAGCTTTTCCTCCTTTCTTCCTTCCTTCTAGACACCTAACAAACCCACCTAGTCATCCATCCACTTTTTTAAAAAATTTTTTGCCCCCTAGGGAGAAAACTGGCCAGGAATAAGGGGTGAGGGAGGAGAATAAGTAAAGGCAGTGAGAGTGAGAGAGAGGGAGAGCGAGAGAGAGAGAGAGAGAGAGTGTGTGTGTGTGTGTCAGAGGAACAGAACCAGTAGTATACAGAGAGAATGCACACAAAGGCCCCACCTGAGTCAAGTTCGAGGGCTCACAGGTATGAAAAGCCATCACCTTGACAGTTCAGCTCTCATTAAGGAGCTCATTAGATTGTGTAAGGAGGGAAACTGCTGAGTGGGGAGTAAAAGCCTGACGACTTCAAACCAAATACAGCTTGAAGAGAACTCTTGTGACTATCAATTGACATTGGCAGGGCCTTTTGAAGATGCATTTTTGAAAATTCATCATCCAGAAAACCACCCAAAGTTATTTAAAATAAAACTCCGAAGAACAGTTAACATTTAATTCCACAGAATGGAGTATCTCTGCAGCACATTTCAGCCAAGTCAGTAAGCTGCTAACCCCATGGGAACACTGGACCCCGGTTTCTACTTGACTTAGCTCCAGGTGCTACCTTATCATCCAGCTCCGCAACGGAAGCACAAAGGTCCACCAGGTTAGGCTGCAGGTGTCCATTTACAATCTTCTCATTATAGATATAAATCTGAAATGACGAAAGTAAAGTAAACAGTACAATATCTATTTTCTTTTCTTTTTAAAACCTCCTGAAGCAGGCAATGGCCAGCAGAAGCTTCAACCAACTTTTCGTTCCTCAGAGTGGCTGAGCCATCCACACTGGCCAGCTCTCCAGCTGTGCTGGCGTCATGGGTAACACACTAAAGCTAACTGCCACCTCCCAAACACCTGAGGAGTGGGAGGAGCGGGGTCGAGAGGAGAAGAACCACAGGGAGCTCTGTGCCTCTCTGTCCTAGGGAGCAAGGACCCAGAAAATGACAGGACAATGGAAGGGCTCTGGCTGCTCCTCCCTAAGAACCAAGGCAAAGGACTAAATTCTTTCAAAAGGATGAATGGTCCTGGTGCAGGGTTCATGGACAGAGTGAAAAATGGGCACTGCCTCCTTCCTCGAATGCCTAAGTTGGCTGGCATTGTTTTATTGAAAATGTCAATTCCAGGTATGTATGGTCCTCCGAGCAGTTTCAGTTCAACTGAATTCCTGTGCTTATCACAAAGCATCTCAATCCATACTCATACTATTGGATGGTCATCATCTAGAACCAGAAGATGACCTCTAAAATATCATGAGCTTTTCTAGGACAACAGTGGTATTAAGTAGTGAATACAGTATGCTTATCAAGGCAGAAAAACATTTAGAAAATTTCTCTCAACAAGGAGTGGAAAAGGGATTTGCGTAATCCCAGCTACTCAGGAGGCTGAGGCAGGAGAATTGCCTGAACCCAGGAGGCGGAGGTTGCGGTGAGCCGAGATCGCGCCATTGCACTCCAGCCTGGGTAACAAGAGCGAAACTCGGTCTCAAAAAAAAAAAAAAAAAGATTTGCTAATACCATTAGCCTATCAAGTAATTCAGTTAATATTGAACTCCATTTACTAAGCAGTGCAGTTCCCTGAAGCTTTACTGTACATGGGACTACTGCCAAAAATGCAAACTGAGATGCCATGGTCAGTGTAAAGAACAGATTTCAATTTCCTCAAATCAAATGTGAGTCATTCTATTACCCTATTTGACAGAATTCTCCAGCAGCCTATGGCAAAATATTAACTAGTCCTCTAAATGAAAAAACACAACTTGCTTTCAGGGTTTGACTTTTACAAGTTTTTGTTCCCTTTTACTCCCTAGAGGTTCACAAAGGATTCTCCTGGCTGAATCTCCCTTGTGAGCACACTCACCTGCCGGGCATAGGCCATCTCGATGCTATCCAGAGAGCTTCGACCAGGGGGTCCCACATCACTGATGTAGCTTGGCTGTGGATAAACACACGTTCAGAATCAGTTAGGGACAGTATTCAGTTATGTGAAGAAATAAAAATCACATAAACATATTCTTGTCTTTAACAGAGCTGTGAAGTCTGTTTCCTAGTTAAGACTTCCTCAAAATGATGATTTTAGGGATTTCGATAACATTCAACTTTTACTGTGAACACATGAGAAGAGAGCAGGCATGGGATTGGATTAACTAAAAAAGAGTGAGTTGAGGGGCTGGATAAACCCTATTGATATCTCAATGACTATTTCTGGAAATGTATATCTTTCCAAAGTTCTATTTCAATCTCAAACCCCCTCTCTACCTCATCTTCTCTTCCCATGTCTTCGTACCAGTAAGGCCATTGTTTTTATCAGTGGGTCTCTTTTTCATCAATCATATTAGGCAGCTCAGGGAACACAGTTTATAGAGTCAAACACCTAATTCAGATATTTCCATATGAGAGTCCACACTAAGATAACAGCTGCTGATTACTTTTCTGTTATCTGAAGATGTGAGACCAGTGTAAGTTAGAGAGTCATTCATTCAGTAAATATTTGCTATGTACTTGCCACATGCACAGCTGTGCATATATCCATCTCCATAAGAACAAAAACAAGCCAGGCTGCAAAGCCTGTCCCCAAAGAACTTACAATCTGAAGAGAAGAGTGAGATAAAAATAGTCATGTATTGCTTAACAGTGGGGATAGGTTCTGAGAAATGAATCACGAGGAGACTTCATCCTTGTGTGGACTTCATAGAGTATACTTATACACACTAGGTGGTTTAGCCTACTCCACACCTACACTGTATGCATAGCCTATTGCTCCTAGGCTACCTACCTATACAACATATTACTATAATGGATACTACAGGCAACTGTAACACAATGTTGAGAGAGAGAGAGAGAGAGAGAGAGAGTTTGTGTGTGTGTGTGTGTGTGTGTGTGTGTGTGCGCGCGCGCGCGTATTTGAGACGGAGTTTTGCTCTTCTTGCCCAGGCTGGAGTGCAATGGTGAAATCCTGGCTTACCACAACCTCTGCCTCCCAAGTTCAAGTGATTCTCCTGCTTCAGCCTCCTCAGTAGCTGGGATTATAGGCATGTGCCACCATGCCTGGCTAATTTTGTATTTTTAGTAGAGATGGGGTTTCTCTATGTTGGTCAGGCTGGTCTTGAACTCCCAACTTCAGATGACCCACCTGCCTCAGCCTCCCAAAGTGCTGAGATTATAGGCGTGAGCCACTGTACCTGGCCAGATGTATATATTTAAACATAACTAAATATAGAAAAGGCATATAAAAATATGGTATAATTTTATGAGGCCAGCCACCATAATATACGCAATGCATGACTGTGTATGAAAAAGGTTTCAGTCTTTTTAAAGAAAGAATATTCACCTTTAGCTAAACTTATGCCTTCTGTATTAGGTAAATTACGCCTTCAAAATTAGGTAAATTCTTAAGTTTCCACTCATTAGTTTATACTGTAGCACAGCAGAGATCAAATTCTTTAAGCTTATCTCATTTTTAAAAAGCCCAATGTTCTATACACTAAAATCTAAAATAAATCAGTTTAAACTAGGTTTTCTGTGAACCAATGGAAGATAACAGTCAAGCTTCCCAGCACTGTGAACCTGGTAAAAGGAAGAGCAGAGTGGGCAAGCACCAGGAGTAGGGGAGAGAGGGGAGGGCAGGTATCAGAAAGGCGGCTTGAAGCCCTCAGTTCTGGAGAATGAACACTGGATTGTCAAGGACACCTGGGTTCCAAGAGTGTCACTTAACTACCTGGCTTTGGGGTCTGGAGCAAAGTACCTCCCGAGATTCCCATTAGTCAAATGAAGGGGCTATCGTAGATGATCTTGAGAGGTCCCCTCAGCTCTGATCTCCAGCTATCACTGGTATTAAAAGAGCTTAAAATGTTCACTGATCTTGGTAGATGCTGCTGGCTGGCCCAATGACCCTTCCCAATTCCTACATCTCACACCTTTACTCTCTGCCACACTTCAAGTTGGCATTTATAGTTATTAGGTTGGCACAATCACTTTTGCACCAACCTAATAAATATTCCCAATAGTGTGCTGTTAAGTGTTTTTTAACAGCTAGCTCTTGGGAAAAGGGACGATGGGTAGCATTTGCTGGTTTCTGTGGTTTAAATTCTCCCAACATAGCAGATTTCAAGCACAGGTGATATCAACTAGACTGCAAATTCCTTGAAAATTTAACAACAGGTCCTCATGTGCTGATCCCTATACCCTTTGAATATATATACCATTGAATATACCCTCTTCCAGCTCTACTACAGCAAGGAATGGCACATCCTAATTTTAGCCAATGAGATGAAAATACAAGCCTGCTAGTACATTTGTGGACAGCTTCTGCTTTTACTGATTGGAGGGTTGAGGTGGAGAGCCCGTCATGGCTTTTCAACTCTCTCCCCTTCTTTCTGCCTTGAATGTAAATGTAATGTCTAGAGCTACTGCAGCCATCTTGTGAAACAAAGTAGGTGGATGTGCTACAGATGGTAGTGTACCAGGACAGAAAGGTGTTGGGTTCCTGACAACACTGCAGAACAACTGAATTAACATCAACACTCTCCACACCTGCAGACATCTCAGTAGGTGAGAAATATACACCTCTATTCAAGCTATAAAAGCTCAAGTTTTCCACTACTCACAGCTGAAAGTGTTCCTACCTGTAACACAGATTTAATTAAAAAACCACTGGGTTACAATAATAACAACAGCTATTAATGAGCACTTAACTATGTGCCAAGCACTGTTTGAATTTCCATATTATTAACTCCGCAATCTTATATAGGTACTTTATTTATTTATCCATCTTACGGATGAAGACACAAAGGTACACAAGAGAGGTGAAGCAATTTGCCCAAGTTCACTTCAGTAGGAACCAGAGGAGCTGTGGCTTGAATCCACAGTCTGGTACCACACTCCGTACTCCTCGCCATTGCTCTATCCTGCCTGCCAGGGCAGCCTGGGGTAACTTTAAGAACAGTCATCACAGAATAGTAGAGAGTAGTAGTAGTTGTTGGAAATCCTGGATCCACTACTTATAACAATGTGACCTTGAGCATATTGCTTCCTTTAAGCCTCAGTTCTTTAGCCGTAAAGTGGGGGTGGTAATGATATTCACCACACAGGATTGGGATGAAGATTAAATGGGGAGAAAAATAGTATTAATACCTACCTCACCGCACTGCTGTGAGGAATATGTGGAAGACTTCAACATAGTGCCCAATACATGGTCAATAAACGCTAGCTGTTCTCACTTTATAAACAAAAATAAACCACCGCGATGAACACAAGAACAAATCCTACGCTGAACAACAGACACGGACACCTCAGAAATATGACCTAAAGTGTTTTACTTTGTGCAGGCTGAAAGTCTCATTTCATTTTTCTACAATGAACACACATTCCTTGTTTGATGGAAGCCCCCCAGCCAGGGCATTTTATACTTCCAGACTCATTCAGAGTCTTCCCATTAACACTACACTAAGGACTGTTCTCTAAGACGGCCACCTTTCTAGAACCAAGTTAATAAAAAGCTGAAGATTCCACAGTCTTTTTTACAGGACACAGCACTAAACCTGTTAATTCCAGTAACCTAGTCAAGGAGAATAAACAAGAAAACAAAAAGAACTGTACCAAAGCATTTTTGCAAGGACACAGTTGTTGCAGCTAAATATACACAAACAGCCTTGAGAAATATTTTCCAGTGCTAAAAACCTAATTTTAAAAATTATCCATTTAAAATGTAGTTGGGTTTCAGCCTTCAAATTTCCATTTAAATTAATTTTCCCTAATGCTCTTGTTTTCAAAGGTACCCATCCTTCAGTTGCCCTTGCCCAAGCCACTATTTCGCCACACATAAAGTCAATTATCCACAAGAGGATGTGTATATCCACATTCCTGAACAGAGGAACCAGCAAATGTTTAGTTGGAATTCCACAGCCAAGGACCGCCTGAGGGCTGGGAAAGCCACCATTCACTGGGGTTCTCTGCACTGGGGCAGAGCCATAGCAAGGACAACAGGACAAGACGACAGGAGCAAGGAGCCAGAGACCAAAAGAGCAGGGAAGATGACAGGGTTTCTTCTTTTAGAAGAAAACAAGTGGCTCACTCAGGAGTCTGGAGATAGATATGTGGAAAAACAGTAGGCTCTGGGAGCCCAAACTGAGAAAGGTCTTGTCAGAGTAGATGGTGTTCCCAAGACAGCCATTCCAGGACAGGACGGGGACAGAAAGTGGCAGGAGAAAACGGCAAACTTTTATTAAACATCCACTATTGTACAAAGTATATCCATGGATGCATAAAACTCTTTTCCCAAGGAAAGCACATTCTAGTTAGAAAAAAAAAAATGCAGGCCAGGCATGGTAGCGCATGCCTATAATCTCAGTACTTTGGGAGGCCAAGGTGGGCAGATTGCTTTAGTCCAGGAGTTCAAGACCAGCCTGGTTGACATGGCAAAACCCCATCTATACAAAACCAAAACCAAAAACTAGATGGGTAGGGCGAAGCGCACCTTTAGTCCCAGCTATAATACGTGGGAGGATCACTTGAGTCTGGGAGACAGAGGTTGTAGTGAGCTGAGACTGCGCCACTACACTCCAAGCTGGATGACAGAGACTCCATCTCAAAGGTGGGTGAAAAAAAGAAAAAAAGTAATGCAACTAGCACTCCTAGTAAAATAAGTACAGGGTAGTAAGAAAATATGATGATACTGAAGAAGGAAGAATTTAATTTCTAAGTGAAATGTTTTGGCTTTATGTAAGCAAAATGGAACCATAGTGATTAATTTACAATAAGTAGCTTTATCTGTACGCAAAAGTCCAGTACTACTAGGACAAAACACCAGCCAGGGCCCAGGGAGGACTGGGGTCCTAAATGCAACCCAGCTAATGACTGTGTGACCATGGATAAAATGAGAAGAACACTTGTGGCATTCATGGGATGGAACACTATTAGAACTACTAAAAAACAACA